ACTGTACCAGATCAGCTGCCTGACCTTTCTTTTATGCATAAGACCTACCAAGCAGGGTTCATTCTATTGTGATGTTATGTCACTGACGGCATTTAACAATAAAAGGTGGTACCTGTAATGGGCACGACGTCAACACCGTTTCCCCCGGACGCCACCCCTCTGCAGGCCCAGAGCCCTGGTCACCAGTCTGCGGGCCACTGCGGTATCAGTGCGAGGTCTCTCCTTCACTGGCTGGATGAACTCTGGGGAAAGACCACGAGTCATCTACCATCAGCTACTGCGGCTACTGTGTTACCGTGGCACAGAGACACTCACTGGGCAGATGCTTAGACTTAAAATATACCACAGAGCTAATCAGGAAGTTATACCTGCAGGAATACCATTTTATTCATTCAGTATGTGCTGCAGTCATTTCCAGTGTTGGGCAATTCCAGTCCAGAAACTACAAATCCAAACCAATATTTTGTTTCTACCAACCTGTTGAGCATGATGAGTCACAGTCACAGAGCACTCAACTGGTTGGTAGAAACAAAAACTTGGCCTGGATTTGTAGTTTCTGGACCTGCAATGCCCAACACTAGGCATGTCTTGGGAATGCTAAAAGCATGCCTTCTACAGCCAATGACAATATCAGCAAAAATGCTGTTAAACTTAAAGGAACGCAGTAGGTTGTGAGTGTCATGGCACTGGAGACTCCCCCGTAGTCCTACCTGCACGCCTGAAGGCCTTCCCCTTGGCTTTCCTGCTGCCTTCAGACAGCCTCCGTGCCTTCAGCAATGGGTGCTGTATAGACAGAGCCTGCTGAGCTGGGGGCAGACAGCGACATAGCGAAATGTGAGGCCAGTCAAGGAGGTTCCTTCTGCATAACCAACCTCCTGCCTTCAGCAGTGCCCAGCGCATCCCAGCGCTTCACTGAGGAATTAAAAACCTTTGAGGAGATAAACACCCCGCAGTCAACTTCAATGATTTTCTGGCGATAATTGCGAGTTAGTCCATTGAATGTTGGGATGCAACTTTGCAGGGTACCAAACTTCGATACTTTTACGGCATCGACCAAATTGATTAGATACTATCAAGTATCGAAAAATGCCCTTGTTGTCCAGTACCAAATTCCAAAGGATACCAAAGGAAGAAATCTCATCAGCATCAGTGAGCCAATAAACTTGCAGTATGCTTGTACCATCTAATAATGTTGATTGTTGGTAACATACACGAATACGTCATAGAGGGACGCAAGAAAAACATCCAGAGACGAGGTTCACGTGTGTGCGTGTTAGGACGCTCTCTCAGTGTGGGTGACAGGTGATAGGTGTGAGCGCACACGCACGCACGCACACACACACACACACACACACAGCCCAGAACACGCGGATATGAAACGTGCATTTTGGCCAAAAATCTTCCATCACATTTGCTCAGTATAATGCATGTTATGTCATGAACAGCCGGCCTGCTTTCATGCTGATTAATAAGAGAATAATTTGGAAAATCGTGATTAACTTATAGCCTAATATATGCAAATATCAGTCATAAACATTCAGGTAGGTTGTTTGAACCAGTTACCCCGTAATGGGCTCCTGGGCTACTCAGCCTCTCAGGTGAAACCAAACCACATTCTGAACTGTAAGCAGTGGTTCTGCTTCTTAAAAGCAGAGCATCTCAGTGAGATGAACCTTATTATTTTTAAAATAACTTCTTTAGCATTTATCCCAAGCACCCAGGCCAGATGATGTTAATCTACATTACAATAAAGATTAATAATTCAATGTTTGTTTTTTCAAACCTACAAGCAAAGACCTTTGGTTTGAAAGGCTATACCTTATCACCATATTTATGGTGCTGCTCTCCCATGATTTATGCAATTTTGTACTTTAAGTGCATATGCAGGTACTATAAGGTGGTGGGTGAAATGCTGACAGGAAAAAATAAACTCATACTGGGCTTTTCAAGTAGGATAACATATAAGCATAAAAAGTATTTTTTTCTATAGAAAATTCTCAACTGTTTTGGAATAAAACATGTAACTTATAATTACATAATCCGCTCTTTGCATTTGTGACTCTGTCATCCAACTAATGGATGCTGAAGGACCTGGAATCCATGATACATTCATTCATTAGAATTGTGTGCTTTTTGATGTTTTTACCCTGCTAGCATCAGCTCTACCTGTAAGGGTGCAGCCCTGAACCAGTATGAGGGAGGAAATACTGACACACTGGACACCAACTGTATCACTGCTCAGGAGATACCCTGGGGCTCGTTCTAATACTGCATTTCTGTGCAGTGACACAAATCGGGTGTGGAATTCAGTAGATATGACAGTTCACTGTGCACTGCTAAGTCTGTGGATTATCTTGAGCAACCGGGTCATGTTTTCTAGCACTTTGATCACAGAAGGAATGCCATTCAGTTCTATTATATTTGAGAGAAGCCCGACATTTCTACACCCGACATCTCCAAAACTAGGTAACTGCCAGCAGACCTAGATGGATAGAGCACTAAATCCCCTCTAAAACATATCTTGTTTCAGATTTGAACTACGCCTTTAAGTTAAATATTGCTTGTTACTCTGTGTTTTAAGAGTGTAAAAATGCCAAGGAACTGAAAAATAAAACAGATTTGTACTGTGATGTGTAATGTCATTTTGTTTTTGCTAAAATTAATTTCATGAAACTGGTATTGAAAAAGTATCATTCCTGGTATTGAAGTTAAAGTATCAATAATGGTATCGAAAATTTTTGAAAGATACCCAACTTTGGATGCAACAAAAGCTGCCGTCTGGCTGAGACCCACTGGTCCGTCCAAAGGGGTAAATTCAGAGCTTCAACAAGAGATCTGAGCTCTTTTAATACTTCGGCTTTAGTCTCATGACTAACAATGGAGTAGCACTGAGTACCAGCAAAGAAGTCAGAGTCAGAAAGTTAAAGACATGAAAGGTCGTACCTGAAGACTCGCTGGAAAACACGCCCAGGGCACAGGTGTCATCCACCCAGGTGATCCTCAAGCCTGCCTCGCTGGGAGAAGCACACATTCACATTTATTTAAGCGGGGGAACACAAAGGATTTACCAGAATTAAAAATGAGATGGCAGAGAATACCAGTAAGTACTTTAGCTGAAAAAGTATCAGATTATGGAGTAAGAATAATTACATTATATCAAACTCTCAACCATCTTGTAACCGCTGATCCATAACAGGATCGTGGTGGGGTGGGGGGATTGGGGGATTGGGGGCTGGTGGTTATTTCAGGCAGCATAGGGTATAAGACAGGGGAACATTCTGCATGGTGTGCCAGTCAATCGCAGGGCATACACTCACACAAATGCACATACACAAAGGGCGAAGCGGACGTAACAGACGCCAAAAGGAAACCCAGACAGCTTAGGGAGAACTCCATACACTCCCCGTGGGTGGGATTCAAACCCACAACCCTAAACACCTTACAAATGCTACCCACTAAGCCACCTCATATCAAACTTTCAACAACCGTCAATTTCTTTTGTTCTCATCCCATTAATGTATTCATTGTCTGGGCCCATTGATTCAATCACATCCTTTGCAATCACAACACAGTACAGCATCTCCACATGGTTATGTAACGCTGTAAGCCGGACCCCAAGTGTCATGTTGATTGCCTGCTTCTGTCTGGCCCTCTGTGTTTGCACCAGTTTTAAATAAACCACTAACTTAAAACAATAAACTTCTCAGCTTGCTCAGGCAGATGAGTCTGGCTCCCTCTCTTCATGCATACAGCACGTAGGACAGAGGTAAGATGAGCAAAGACTCAAACAGCCTATCACTGTCACCCACCACCAGAGCCAAGACACACCAGATGGCCCTTAAAATAAACCAGCTCCATCTGATACCTGAAGTCTGCGAAGGCGTCCTGCAGGTCCTCCGTCTTGAAGAGTTTGGGAAAGTCGTAGATTTCGATGACGTGGGCGAATTCGTCCGAGCTGAACAACATGTTCTGGTAGCAGGAGTAGTCATTGTGGGCGCTCTCGATCAGGACGTCTGCTTCCCTCAGGTTCGCAATGATCTATCCGTTGAAACACAAACATTAAACCATCCGTCCATCTTCCCTAACTGTAGATCCAGGACAATGTGAAAGTGAACCGGGACCCCAAATCCACAATCATCCCCCAGCCCCAAGTTGTTGGTAAAAGATGTCAGGGGGAGGGCGGTTGAGTGGCGACCCCTCAGAAGATGCTCCCATGTTCCTATCTATCCTACATCATCCTTCACTAAGCTCAGTGTATGTACAGGACGCAGGTTAAAGGTGTCCGTTCCCCTAACAGCATGCTTTAGCATTGTAGCATGAAACCGGAGTACCTAGATGAAACCACAATAAATGAAAGGAGGAAATGAAAACTCCAAATATTTAACATATTCAAGTATAACAGGACAATGTAGGGAGTTATTTCACCTTCTAAACCCCTGAATCAAAGAAGCAACAAGACATACTTTTCGTTCATTTTCTATACCCACTTGTCCTATGCAGGGTCGCGGGGGTCCATAACCTACAGATGCAAAGCAGGGAATAACCCACAATGAGGCACCAACACATGGCACACAGAATATACCTCTTGAGTAAAATCCTCCAAGTCTGCTGCGCCCCCTGCTGGTAGCTCCACTGCTGGTGACACAGTCTCATCCAGTTCCTGGTGCTTCAGAGACATAGCCATGAAGTTGGACAAGGTCTGATCCCAGGCCGCCGGCGAGGCCTGGCCGCTGGAGTCGGAGGGGAGCTCGGAGACCTCTGGCTCGCTGGCGGACTCGTTGGTGGCTTTGGAGGCCGTTTCCTGGCTGGCAGGCAGGAATGACTGAGCCTCGAGGTCTGTGCCGATTTCAGGACTGGTCCCCGATGTGCTCTGCTTCAGGCTGCAGCCCGAGCTGTCCGGCGCGAGCTGGGCCTGGGTGGGGTCGGAGGCCGGGGCGGCCTTGTCCCTCATGGCTCGTGGGACATAGATGGCCTTGTCAGGGCGTCGGGGTGCCCTGCTCCGAGTCTGCCGGGGTTCCAGGTGGGGGCGCTCTTTCCGGGCCTCTGTCTCCTGGCTTCGCCCCTGGACGTCCTCATGCTGGCCTTCTTCTGGGTCCCCCTCCTCCTCTGAGGGCAACCTTAGAGAGAGGAAACCGTGTGAGAGCCCAAGCAGAGCACCTGGCTTCATCTCTCATGGGGGGTCTTGGGCTGATTCCGTTATGTAATTAGGGTTAGCAACAATAACCTAAGGCACAGCATTTGTAATAGTTTCTTTTACACTTTTTAAATGACTATTCATAAATTCATTAAATACTCAATTACTATTAATTCACTAGTATTTCTCTTTTTTTGCACATTTGTGCTAATTCACAGCCGTCCCCGTCCCCCCCACTCATTCCTTCTTTCTGTACTTTTCCTCCGTATAGCTTGCTGTGACTCTCCAACCATGTATTTCAGTACTTAAACATATTCTGAGTGTGTGAATGCACTTATGCACTCAAAGAGCAAGTTTAAGTACTGAAGCATGCGATTTGAGACTCACGGCTATGCCTACTACTCATAGAGATATGGAGATGGTACCATAGCCTATAAAGCTACTGCTCTGTTTTTCCAAATTAAACTGTGATGGAGCATTACAAATAAAATAAATGAAAAATGGCCCTCTGATTTATTGAGGCAGGTGCAAACCAGTTAAACTTAAAGATTATTTTTATGTGTGCGCCGTGCAGAGACACTGCGGGGTGGGGAGGGGGCTGCTGCCATTCAACCATAATACCTTGCTGAAGTAAAAAAGGTTGCAAACAACTGAGATGGTAAGAACACGAAACTTGATAGTACAAATTGCTTCTACCTTATTTAGTAACACTTAACACCCAGAAAGGTAAAGGTGTGCCCAGGGAGGCTGTACCTGAGGTGGGCGGGACACACCACCACCCTGCGGCTCCAGCCTTCACCCACAGAGAAGGTGGCCAGGGACGGGCAGGTCTCCACGGTCCTGTGGATCAGGTAGCGCTGCCGGCTCGGCAGCGGCGGGAAGAGCAGGACGCTGGGGAAGAACTTGGCACTGTTATGTCCCCTTTTTCTGCTCATTCTGCCACGTCCCAGGGCAGTTTAGTCCCCGAAAGACAATTATTAGCACCCCCAGCTAATTCCAGAGGCTAACTGTAAAAACCAAACCATCTGTAACAACTCGTAAAACCTGGGGGGGGACTATTACTGACCATATATTAAACTCTAAAAAAACTCTAAATCTCTAAATATGAAGTCCTATGTTCCATGTATGTTCCCTGGTGATCTGAAGGAGCGCCAACACCGGCTTGTCATCATCTCCCTGTTCCCCGGTCGTGACTCATATTTTATGACTTAGACCGTGTGACTTGCCACTTAGCCATCTCTCCCATTTGACTCTCCCTGCCCACCCCAGGAGGATGGGCTCCCCCTTTGAGTCTGGTCCCTCCCAAGGTTTCTTCCTTCTAGGGACTTCTTCCTTGCCACTGTCGCCTATGGCTCACTGACTGGGGGCTTTGGGTGGAGATGCTGTAAAGCGCTTTGAGACATGTTGTGAAAACGCGCTATACAAAAATAAATTTGTTGTTTGCTGTGAAAGTGTTTAGGCTAAAATCTGAGCTTATTCTACGTGGATTGATGTTGCCAGAGTGTATTCATGCACATTGGGCTTGTTGGCACTAGGGGAGTTTCTAGTCATTGACTTGACTTTTTCCGAAGGGAGATGGGCATCGGGGCTAAGCTTAAAATACTCAGGGGTATAGCCCCGAGTGATCGGACCTAAGGACGCCCATGGTCGGGACCAGTCTTATTATCATAAACTAAAACTGAAACAAAAACGGACACTAAATAAAAGAAAATGACTCGAGAACTGAAACAAAAATGAAAACTATATGTTACTATGTTTACAAAAAAAAAGGTGTCAGACTTTAATCGGCAAAAAGTGGCGTCTCACCACCAACATCTTTTTACTTTCTTTATCCACAATATCTCCCACTGTGACAGATGTGCTAGCTAAGCTGTCCCTTTCTTCACCGCCACTTCAGTGCTTATCGCTTCCATAACATATCAAAACAGCAGCATGGGGCGCTGTTTAATCATCATAGGACACGCCGAATTTATACAGAGTACTAACTTTTGGGCGTCACAATACACATCTCATTGATATTTTAGACATACTACTAATTGTATGGAATTGTGGGCGAAAATACCGACCATAGAGTGCCAAATTTCGACGTCCTTTATCTAAAGCCTTGCAATAACAGAGTTTCTTGTTCTCAAAATTAAATTAAAGTAAAAGGTGCAATTTATTTTCTGGAAGAAAATTAATCGTTTAGATTAATGACCAATCGGTAAAATAGTCGATACCATCCATAGAAAAACAGTCGTTACCATCAGCCCTAATTGAACCCAAGTGAAACACATTACATAAAACACATAAATAATTTTCAAACATTAAAGTCAGGACACCAGAAGAGAAAATGTATGAGAGGAATTTCATTCACAGCCAGATAAACGGCGATGAGCATGCAGCGCTCGGCCACCTTCAGGCAGAGCTCACCTCCTCTCTCCGTCCCTCTGAATGAAGGCATCCAGCTCCTCCTGGACCGTATCAACAAACTCATATTCCTGCTGTGGAAGGTAGTATCCATCGAAGCAATTAAAAGCCAGGATGACCAGAGGGTTGTGATGTTTGATCTGCAAGGGAGGTGGGGGAGACACAGCCTCGATCAGAATTAAGAGGCATGGCCAGGAAATACCGTCCCTTTTACATGCCGAATACTAATATTTGTAGGTCTCATTTGAACAGCTGATGAAAATGCTGTAATAAAATCATCTGTCATAAATATATCCCGTAAATTTCAGTCCTTGCACTGATTTCAGCACTTCATTCCCCCTTCATCACAAATCCACTGACAAAATACGGATATTTTAACCATGCAACGTTTCTCCATAATCTTCCTTTAAAGAGAAATACTCGGACCTGCCGTTTCCTTGTCGACGACGGTGAGGAACTCGCTAACTCTGCACCCGATAACTTTTCTATAACGTTTTTATAACGATAACGTTTTTGTTATTGCACAGACACTAGCTACCCCTACACTCGGACATTATCGTTTACCACTTTTTGGTGCTATTTACAATCGTACAGAGCCCAGACGTCAACTTAAGGACCCGGTCTTATTATTACTTATTCCTTCGCGGCACGACCAAGGAAACTCGTCCTCGTCGGTTTGGGTCTCGGCGTGTGATCCAGGCAGGATCTGGGGTGCTGTCGAACAGAGGCAAGGCCATCTGCATTTGGACCCAGACGCGAAATCCCCCCCGCAGCACATAAACAACTACCCCCACCCCCCGGGCTCTGCTCTTCGGCTTCGATTAAACTCGCGAAATAAGCGTTTCGTTAAAGCTTACTCGATTTCTTTCCGCAAAACGGCTTTTTATCCAGCTTGGGACAACAAGTGCGGGATGCAGGGACTTCAAATCGTCCACCAATGAAACACGAACTGCGTAACTTAAGTGGGGTTTCTTGTACGTAGCTTGCGCACTTGCAAATGGGCCTCGCTACGATTCCTGTTTCCAACTCGCAGTTACGTTAACAGCGTGATTAACGGAAAATGTGTAGTTTACTTACGATCTCATTTTACGTGCAACTTTTCAGCCAAAGACCATCGGTGTTACAACAGCCCTTTTGGGCTGTAATATCTAAACGATACAATGATATGGGACGGAAGACAATCCTGTTACATATAGTGCCCCACTGCCCCCATAAATTATTGCAGTTAAAATATGAAATTCTTTTGCTGAAATCGCAAATAAATAAACCTCAAGGTCAATTTAAGTTATTAATTTGAGCAGATGACACCAGTTTTGCAACATCCTTAGGTGCTAGGTACATGCATATAAAAACAGCTGTGTAAGTTACTCACTTCTAGAAAATAGATTTTAAATAAGCACAGTAAGAAGCCTGTTCTATAGAGTAAAAGAACACACTGGGCCATGGGCTTAATCAAGAAGAGTGTTTATTTATGCTACAGTGCACAAGTTATAAGAAATTATACAAATATTTAAAACCACATACCGTCATCCTGGCATCAATAGGCAGAAATATGATATTAAGGTCTGTCTGATGGTTATAAGGTCTCAAAAATTGGTGAAAAAAAAAAAAAAAACTGAAGTTTTGGAAAGTTGCAATACATGAAATTCTATAAGTACTCCAGCGTTCCTGCTGGGTAACTGGTTCTCATTCACACATCTCAGTTATTCTGTTCTGTAGTGTAAAATCCTAAACAGGCTGACAATTCTAATTCTGTTGGATTGTGTCTCCAAACACAGCCAAATTATGGTGAGGCACACAGGATTCAAAAGTGTGTACTGATGTAATCAGATACCATCCCTCGTTAGCGACCACAATAGTTCATGGGAGCGATAGAGAACCAATCCTCCTTGGTTGATAAGACTTCATTTTTCTGCTTGTTGACAGGAGTTAGATGAAGAATCACAGCTGACCAAGCAAATGCACCCAAGTACAAAAAAACCCTCAGAATGCTTCATTCTTTTCAGAATCATGTACATCAAACATAATAACAAGTGGCAAAGTTCAATACACAAGGTTATAGATAATCCGTGATCTGGGGAGAATTAACTATATAAACTATCCATTCATGCCTATTCATGGTCGTGGGGGTTTTAGAGCCTATGCTGGAGGCTATGGGGGCAAGACAGAACTATACTAACTAGAATGGATAAACATAACGATCATAATGACAGACAAGGGCCAGTGTGCCTTTATCACCTTCAGCAGAACATGTGGTCAGTCCATCTCACACAGAGTAGTAATAAATAATCATAATGAACAAGGAGTTTTTTTTAAATGCAATGTGAATACAATGGGAGTGAAGGAAGGGAGACCTGGTGGTCATGGTGGGTTTAGGGGGCAACACTGGGCAGCAGCGAATGGGGCACCAACCAGCCGTCTTGAGAAACATCTTTAGACAAACTAAAAACAAACAGAAAATGATTGTTAAAACAATACAACACTGTAACCCAATATGAGAATTCAGGATCTACTGAGTTAATCACACACACTCATAAATATAGTGCTTACATGTCTAAACATATACAATATAGGACATTTCAAACACACACGAAATCCTGAACTTCTAGAGAAGCACTGAAATACAACCATCCAACATGTCAGATTTCCTTCTGGATATCTCTATCTATCACCAGACATCAGAAAATGGTGCCGTTTTAAAACACCCAAATTAAGTGGGGTACTAATTACAGCAGCAACCTGCATGACATTTGAAACTGGTGGAGGGAATTGTGCCCTGGTGTGAAAACGGGCAGTCGGACTTACCCAAGTCTCATCTTCCGGGTCCAGTACTGCGGTCTTCAAAAACAGTGATTTCGACCTGGTGTGAGGGGGTTAAGGAAGAACCTGGGAGCGAGCAGAAAGTCTGTCCAAAGGTAGAGAAACAACAACGCCTGAACACATCACACAGCCACCCAGATCCACTGTTCTTCAGATGCAAGGATACAACTCTCAACCCCCGCTCAATAGGGTCAATGAGGAGCAGGCCCCTCGGAGCGTAGATTTTGTCATTCTGATCCTGGATATAATTGGCAATCTTCTTCAAAACCTTACAAGGCAACAGAAGAGAAAATAAGATTAAGAAGCCTGTGCAACTAAAGGTTCATGGGGTCGTTCCGACTCTTTCCAGACATCGCATCAATACTGACGATCCAAAGGCAGGGTCCAGCACAGTGGTCTTACCTTCTCATAGTGTGTCTCCATGCACAGGAAGATGGTGTAGGCTGTCAAACAAGCCAGACAGCCCTCCAGGTACGAGCGACCCCCCAGCTTCTCCGCCTCGGCATACAGGCTGTTTAGCTTGCGTATTGTATCCTCAAACTGCTGCTTGTCAATCTGAAATTGGCAAATCCCGAAACAGAGATGCAGTCACTGGACTGTGTCAACCGATGTCAGTGCGGGACAAACTGATTTTACACACATGCTTGTAAATATATCATAATTATTCACAAAATTATGACTGATTTTTGTACTGCTATTTAAAGTTGTATAAGCATTAAAGCATAAGTATTGAGGCAATTAAATGCCTTCATGGTCTACTGTAAGTCAATAACAAATCAGATAAAAATCTTATATCTTCATATCTCCTGTTTGTGCTGCTCTTGTCCTGGGCCGGGAATTTTCTCTGATTCTCGAACAGTTACTTGTATCATGACAACACCAAATACTCCTTTTGCCGACTACGAGCTAACGGAAAAAAGAATGGGGAAGCATCTGCTTTTGTGTATTAAACGCACCCTTGTTTCCAGAGCAGCGGGAAACTTTGTCTGGAACTGGCAAATGGTCCCCGAGGTGTAGTCCCGCTGGACGAACACTTTGGCTGCGACAGGCGCCTGCTGACGCAGATCCTGCAAGCTGTGAGTCTGGAGGAAGGGAAAAAAAAATCTATGTAGTATATGTATCAGTTACCCCATCAGTGTGCTACCACCCTTGACCACTGATTTATAGTACTATTACTCACTACATGCATCTATAAACATCGCCTATTTTAACATACATGATTAACACAAACAATGAAACCAAAAAACAAACAAACAAGAACAACATCCGGGCGAATCACCTAGGTACACTGACATAACTATGGATTCTTTCACTTCTTCAATCTACCATCTTCCGACTTGTAGAGTTAAAAAAAATATATATGAATAACTCAAAATATGCTTTTTCCTTCAATGAAGAAAACACTAACGATGGTAACATTACACAGTAACCGATTTATGATTTTACTAGACGGTATGTTCATAATTCGGCAAAATAATTAGTTAAACAGGAGCAAGCAGGCGGATGGATGGTTTACTGACAAACTAGTTAGCTATTGGTTTTAACCCAGCCGGATTAGTTAGTTCATATAGTGTATTTGTTACTCCCTTTTCACACTGGGAAAACTATCAAGAAATAAACATGTAAGTATACCTAGATAATTGTTTTATATGCCAACATTCAAAAAATAATTTAAAACTACATATTATGGAACACCCATTTACCCAGGTATGTTTTTAATAATCTCAAAATATTATTAACCTACGGTAGAAAAATACAAGGCTCCCTTACCTCCGCCATATTGAAACCAATTCTTCCGTAGTGTTCAGTCTGCAGTGTAATTTCAGAGTAAGAGCCCACTACTGCCACCTATTGTTTGGAGTTGGGATCCCATACAGCTCTGCTATAAAACATTGTATGTTAACACTTCCATCCATCCATTTTCTATACCCGCTTGTCTTGCGCAGGGTATGAAGCCCATCCAAAGCTACTGGCGCAAAGCAGAGAATAACCCAGGTTGGGCGCCAAACCATCGCAGGGCATACACTCAACATACGTATTATGAGTAGTGAAATGATTAGAATGTGATACCAGTTTTTGACAGCAACGCTGTACATATTTAAAGGTACTTTTAAACTGAAGTGTAATCCATTTCACAAAACAGCGATGCGGATTAATATGCAACGTAATCAAGAATCAGTAACAGTGTTACTACTCTCTTTAAAAAAATAGACCAGGACAACTATTTAAACGTTAACAGCTGTTTTCCATTATGAGAGTTATTTTGATATCTATCATCAAATATTATCATTTAACTTAAGCAAATAGTGCTGTGATAATTATTTTTATTCAGGAGAAATTATGTAGATAGAAAACATGCACAGTATTAAGCCAAAAAGGGATGATCTTGTGCAGTAATAAATAAAAACAAACCTCTGCATTCTCATCTGCCAATGTACAGCAGGATATTAGCTGCATAACAAAGGAATATCCAACTTACATTTTTATTCAGTATAGGTTTATATGAGTATAACATGGCCCCGCAATTTCAGTCAACATTTACTATAAGAATATGAGACACGTGTGTGTTTCCTTTATAATTGCATTGATCAAAAACTACAACACATAACTGCTGACAAAATATTCTTTGTCGTTGTTTAATAGGCAAAAGTGGTCCACCCAGGCTAAAAGTCAAACTTACTAGAGCCTCACCTAAATTTAATTGGGTAAAACAAGATCTTACATGTCAATATTTAATTATGTTGGTTAAATTTAAACTAATTATTATATAAAATCACACTGATCAATTAAAATGAATAGTCTTAATAATACTTCGCCTCCCTTTAAATGTGTTCAGTTCAACGCAGTTTTACTTCAAAAAATAAAAACAAGCGTATAATCTAATTATAGTTAGTCATACTCTGCATTATAGCACGGGTATACTAACTATCCAACACTCAAAGAGAAACGGTGATGAGGACACTAAAATTTTATATGGAAAAAATGAATGAGCAGTTGACATTCAACGTCCCCTTTCTGGAACCTAAAACTGATCCGCACGCGCACCATGAACGTGCGCGGAACAGTGCCGCGCGCAAGGCCAAACCCTCCCCGCTCTTGCGTTTTGTTTCTTTGAGAGCACTCCACTCTCATTGGCTACGCAGATACTTTAACACATCCAGGCCAATCGCGAAAGAGTGCGCGTGTTTTCTCTGAAAAATAAGTCAAATTGCTTTCGTCCCCTACCTTGACGTCAGCCAGTTGTTTTTTCCTCTTGAAAGCCCATCCCCCTTTCCGAGTCTGTCCGTAACGCCCCGTTATTTGGGGCCTGCCAATTGGAGGCGAATAACGGGAGCGAGCCGCGGTTTGTAAATCGTCCTCTCGGCGGGAGGAGCTCTTTATTCGATCTCCATTGGAGACGCGCGTGCGCCGGGATCGGGGAAGCGCGTGAGTGAGTGAGCTCGAGCGCTGTGGCTGAGGCTCTGGCGGCGGCGTTGAGTCCGAGTGTGTGCTGAGCCCTCGGGGTTTTTTTTTTAAACAGTGCGAAGAAGAAGCGCAAACACACGCTTTACACTCGCACTTCTCCGGCTGAGGCAGAAACAAGTTTTCTCTTCCTCGCGGAGATCCATCAAAAAGGACATTCTCTGAACGTACTTATCCACGGCCTGCAAAAAAAATCATGTCGGCCTCAACGGCGAAAGTGAGCAGAAAGGAGCAGAACTCGAACCATGACGGAGCGGACGAAACCTCTGGTAAGGAATGGCGGTCTCCACGACACCGCCATTTTCCGCTTGTTTGCGCTTGCCGCGGTGTTGCATTTTAATTGCGAGGCCGGCGGCTTCACGGCGTCTTAGGGCCCCGGCTGAGTGTCCGGTGTGTGAGCGGCTATTACCCAGAGGTCGGGCGTGTGTGTTGCGACTGAGCCTGAGCCTCACTAGTGCTGACTGGCGGTGGCCATGTTTCCTCTGCGTGTAGCCTTATTGTGTCAGACGCGTGCTCGCCGTGGCTTTCAGGACTCTGTTTCCTCCCTGAATGATTTCAATTTACGGGCGCAGGCGTTGTTTAAAACTTTCTCCGCCGCGATCCGTGCTGGGGTGTAGAGAGACATTTCGTCCCGTGAATGGAGATGTCTGAGCGAGGCCCAGCTGCTGTGCATTGTTAGCTAGCAGTGTAACTCCGCCATCATGATGTGTGCACGGCTCTGAAGGTGGTTATTTGACTTTTCTGGTGAGCAGCTTTCCCATCACCGATTTCTCTGCTCACTGCTCTTGATGCGCGCCGTAAGTGCTGAGCGGAGCGCCAGATCTGGTTGATCATGCAGGTTGATGTAGGGAAGGATCGGAAGCCCGACCGTGCGGCCTCCATTCAAACCACGCGGCCCGAGACTACAGCAGGAAACTGCATCAGACCGGAGTGTGATGTACAGATCTTTTGCGTTATACTCATTACTGACCATTTTGCTGTAGTTTTACGGGCACTGTATACTTATCCATGCGTCGTTATGTGGTGTTTGTGTTGTATTTGCTCATGAAAAATAACTGTTTATGCAGAGGGTAAATACGAAAGCGTGAACGAAATTTGACATGATTGCTGGCTTAATTCGTGTTTCGAGCAAACGGCGTAAACTTGAACTTGATTTTTTTTTTTAAATCTAAACACGTGCGCTGTAGCTGAGTGAAACCTTACGACTCAAACCATTCTGTTCCGATCACCCTAAAAACAACGAACGCATGTGAAAAATCAAATAAACGCGGGAAACTTTTAAGATCAATAGGCATGTCACAGATAATATATTTGTTAGTCTGTGTAGCTGATCTTATTTTTTTCCCTCCACTTTTTAGAGAAAGAGCAACAGGAAGCTATCGAACATATCGACGAAGTACAGAACGAAATTGACAGGTAACACGTGCTTTCTATGATTATACTGTACTTAGCCACTGTGCATAAATTTTGTGGAAGGATTAAGGCTGTTGGCAATGAATTCGTGTCGTCGTCGTGAATGCTCTGGATTTCTTCTGGTATGGAAACACGAGTGAGACTTAAAATAATGGCGATGATAATCAGAGTAATTAACACTGGCTTCTGGAATATTGTTTAACAGATTGAATGAACAGGCAAGTGAGGAAATCTTGAAGGTAGAACAGAAATACAACAAGCTGCGCCAGCCTTTCTTCCAGAAGCGGTCAGAACTGATAGCCAAAATCCCAAACTTCTGGGTCACAACATTTGTCAACCATCCACAAGGTAAGTAGGCAGGTATATGCCCCGGTTTGCTAATGTCCTGCTCTGGGTCAGTAGTATGGTGTGGCGTTGCTTTCAGTTTCACCTGTGTTCACTGCCCCTGTTTTTTCCCAGTCTCTGCTCTCCTTGGTGAGGAGGACGAGGAAGCACTGCATTATCTGACCCGGGTCGAGGTGACAGAGTTTGAAGACATCAAGTCAGGTTACAGAATAGATTTTGTAAGTAGTCACTGCTGTTTTGCATTTCTGTGCATTGTTTCAGTGTCTTGAGACTTACACTCCTTTCTACCCCTGTTTAGTACTTTGATGAGAATCCCTACTTTGAAAACAAAGTCCTGTCCAAAGAGTTTCATTTGAATGAGAGTGGAGACCCATCCTCAAAGTCAACAGAGATCAAATGGAAAACAGGGAAGGTTTGTGTCGACTGACTCTCTTCATAACTTGCAGATACCATATGCTAGTTTATTGCTTCTGAGTTATTGCATTTGCAAGTATTTTGCATAAGGTAGCCTCTGCCTGGTTAGCGTATACTTCTAGCAGCTTCTGGGAAAATAGCTGTGTAGGATATACAAGTAGTTTCTGTTGGGTTAAATTGGGCAGCCACCCACTATGGGTTTATATGTATCAATGAGTTCCCCTAGCAGATTTCTCTATAGTGTGCTGTAGCAGATCAGGGCATCTTGACTGTCTTTTGATTAATTTTTAGGTGCATGTTGTAAAATCTCTAGTATAACCATTTTCAGGATCTGACAAAGCGTGCCAGCCAGACACAGAATAAGGCTGGAAAGAAGAGGCAACACGAAGAGCCAGAGAGCTTCTTCACCTGGTTCACAGACCACTCTGATGCTGGTGCTGATGAGCTGGGCGAGGTCATCAAGGATGACATCTGGCCAAATCCGTTACAGTACTATCTGGTAAGATGTCAAACTTTGGAGTTCCTGTCCAGGCCAGTCTCCTCCTCTAACCAGTCCCAGGCTGACTTTTAACCTATATATTCATAGGTCCCTGACATGGATGATGAGGAAGGTGAGGGTGAGGATGATGATGACGATGAAGAAGAGGAGGAAGGGTTAGAGGACATTGATGAGGAAGGTGACGAAGATGATGGAGAGGAAGATGATGATGATGATGAGGGAGAGGAAGGCGAGGTAATTTCTTCTGTTTTTGCTAGAAGGTACATACCTCATACTATGTTTAAGAGGCAATAAGTGACATTAAGGATGTTTTTCTTTTGTAGGACGACGGTGAAGATGACTAAACCCGACGACGAAAGATTCCACCTTCATCCTTACCCATTCTTTCCCTTTTAATTTTCCTCTAATCCTTGGGAGCAAGATGCATTGTTGGATTTTTTCTTTGTGTGTGTATGTATGCGAGTGTGTGTGCTGTCCATGTTCTACTGAAGCCTCTCCTGTCAATGCCATGTCTAATACCGCTCTATTCCCAGGATGGACTTGCATCAAAGCTAGTGGAAATATGTCGCTGAGGGTCCCATATGTCATCTCCACTATCCTTCCATCTGAAGACCAATAAAGATTAACAATCTGCACGCCATGTTATGTAGACTACAGTTAAATAGCAATTTATAAATAAATATATATAATTTTTGTTTAAGGTTGTGAATTAAATAAAAGCCATGGTGCAGTGATGACCTGCTAGTTCTAGCATCCCTCTCAATTTTTTTTTTTAATGTATAAATACTTTTCAATACAGGTGTGGCCCCCAGTTTTTCCCATTTTGTGTTCTTTCCCCCTCTGGCCCCATGTGAATAATCAGGCAAATAGAACACACCAGCTTGTTCCTGTCTCTTGTAATGTTTGGGGGAGGGCGGGGTTATTCTAGACTGTTTATTGGGGAGGGGGCTGTGGGAGGCAGATGGGCATTTTGACACATCAACATTTCTGGGTTTATGTTGATATGTTTTTCATTGTAATGTTTTACAGACACCCATGAGGTTTGAAATTACATTTTTAATAAAGGAAAAAAAACAACAAAAAAACTCCTGTAATTTTGAGCCATGCTGCTTTATGGAATATTTAATAAAGCAAATGCATATTCCTGTAGAATTTTACATGGAATCTACATTTAACTCCCTCCCCCTTTTTCCACTGGAAAGATGCTCACGTAAAACGTTTAAAGTGTACAAGTTGCTTTGTTACAATAAAACTAAATGTGTACACACTTTTCTGAGGGGCGTTGTGTCTTAACTGTGACACGTAATGTGCAATTACTTAAAGTAGGCCCAAGTGGGTCTCTGCTTAAATTTGAAAGGTATTCCACATTTTTCCGGCAATTTAGATTTTTTAAATGTAATTTTGATGCAAAACAAACTCGCATGAGCCGTCGACACGTATATACTGTACTTTGTTTCCATTGAATTAAGTGAAGTGATAAATTCCCGACACCGTCGGATACATGACAGTGGAATTGCCCTTCTCCCTTCTTATCAGTTACAACTTGTATGTAACTTTATAGTCATTTTATTGTACTATAAACTCGTTATTTATTTAATCAATGTTACACAAAGAACACCACGAACTTCATGTTCAATGATTATTTCAAGCAATTTAGCAATGCACATATCGTTAGTTATCGTTTTATTTTTTTACGTAATTTCTCAGTGCAATATGTGTATGCACTTTCATGAAAATCAAAAGCAGTAACAAACGCGGTTGCATTTAAGCAAAACGCCGTGCGATTGGTTTCCTAATGCTGTAAAATTGATCATATATTAAGAATATTACAATCACACAAACCCAAGGACAATTAAGGATGAATATTGGTTTCCTAATCTCAGCCCTACACCAAGGTCTACCATGTTCCGGGACTTTGCGACCAATATTTTCTGTACGAGAAGATTGCTAACTAAAAATCGCCTACGTACATATGCAAATTACAATGTTGGAAATGATTGATTTTGTAATATATATTTTGCGACTATTATTCGATATATTAACTTAAGAACGTTAATTGTCTGGTGGACTTTATAATAATAAAAAAATCTAAATTCACGTTTACATAGTGGCTAAAGCAGGATTGGGTTATTCTATCCCTAGATCTTTTTCCTCGAAGTAGCCTGCTCAGTTAGTTGTCATTTTGTCGACTTGGTTGACAGCCATTTTAAATGCTTGCTTCCTCCGCATGCGGATAAATACATTGCAAATTCGACGTGCTAGTTGAATTCTGCACGGAAAACAATCCTCCGTCTCAGATGTGGTCAATATTTTAATTTTATTCGCCAGTGATTTGGTTTAGTGAATTAACTCGTTGAATTACAGAGAAAACTATAGATCGATTATTTAAACAACGCCGCCTACACCAGAAGAGCACATCGATTACACCGATCTCTTCGCTGATTGGCCAGTAACCGAGGATTTCGGGGCTGTGCAAATATCGTGTCCCGGTTGCTCATTGGAAGTTTATGTTTCCAGGGAAACATTCATTTTTATCCGGAAGTGGGATAAGGCTTCACGTATTCCAGAGATGTTCATGTATTTTGCCTTCATACCGTCTCTCTAATCGGTTACCTCCTCAACTAGCTAATGTTCAATGGAAAGGTCCTTAAGATTAAATCTGAACTTGTTGATGAAGCTCACTAACGGTCTGCTTGAGTTTCACAACTTTTTGTCTAATTTGCAAAATTAAATATAAATCAGCATGATGTTCACCGATGAGACTTCGGAGTCGGTAGCTGTGGAATCGCAGTGGAGGAGATCGCACGAGTTGAAGCAGGAGTCGGTATGTGGTGGATAGCCATCATCACAAACATCTTCGGATTGGCAGTGGTGATTATAATATTCAAGAACAGTGGTCAGTTCCATGAAGAGCATGTTTGTTGCCTTGTTAGTTGCTTTGCTAGTATAATGCAAGGAATTGCACACTGTGAAAAACGGCGTTTTAAGACAAAATTTGGCATAACTTTTAAATAAAGTGTGTTATCTTTTGAGAAATGCATTTACATCCATTAACAGGATATTATGTAAAACAATTAATAGACTATTATAAATACTGCTTCGAAATACAGCCAACATTAATGTCAAACATTGTAAAACACTCCCGAAATGTTTGCCTGAATATATTTACTATGAAAATTTATGTGTTTTTGCGTATGATAATGATTTGTCTCATCATTTGTGCAGAAAAGCTGTCAGACAGCGACTCTGAAGTCTGCTGAGGTGGGAGCACAAGCCGTGTACCGCTCAGAAAGCGCCACACAGACCGATCCGCACAGCCAGCTCTCTCAGGATCCTCACCTCACCCGCCACAGTGAGCTGGAATCCCCTGGTCTGGTGGATTTTTTGAACCGGGTCACAGACGTGGTCATCAGAGAGCTGGCGAAGAACTCCAGGAGTCACGCTTTTGATGGGTTTGAAGTGAACTGGGAGGACCAGAATCGAACGGTGAGAGTGACAAGGAAATCTTTAGATGCCATAATGGATGAAGCAAAGTAAAATCTTTATTAAAATGTGTACCTTTGTGTACACACAGGTCTTGTGCATTCATTGTCTGCAGTACTGTGAGGCCCAGCAGAGGAAGCTGCACGTGACCAGCCTGTCCTGGAACTGCACAGGCTCTGTTATTGCGTGTGCTTTTGGCCAGTGAGTCCTACTCTACTTTATGGGCGGCCATTCCTAGTCCTTCAGAAACATCATGTTCTGGTTTTCACTCGGATTCAAGTAATGTCCAAATAATTACTTCAACACTTTGGCTGCCATTTTATCTATATGCCTGACAAGCTCAGCTCCAGCCTGGAATAGGGTCAGCCACAAGATTCTTTGGAAGGGTGGAGGGATGTTTGGCTGTCGAAATTCAATACGTCAGTCTTAAACTTGTTTGTTTCTTTCCTGTTTACGATAACTAAAGTTCTGTGATTGGTTGGCCAGCGGATGGGCCAAGGTTGTGATTGGGTGATCCAGGCCCATCCTGGCCTGCCTATGAAGCCAGGCCTGATGTTTAAGCTATAGTAAAGAAGTGTATTTTCTAAAAACCTGTTGTGTTGACCCATACTCCCCAGCACCGACGACGGTGACTGGACCACAGAGAAGTCTTTTGTGTGCACTTGGAATCTGAACCGCAGAGGTCTGGACCCAAAGCGGCCCGATGTGGTCATAGACGCCGCCACATCAGTCATGTGTGTGTCCTTCCATCCTTCACGGCCCTCCCTGATTGCAGGTAATTTGTCAGACTCTCATCAGGTATGATTAACCTTTGGTTTGAGAAGTTAAAGGTTTATATCCAGAATGTCTTTTTCCACAGGAGATCAGGTGACAAAGATTGTGTGAACTACTGGGTTAAAGGAGTAATTTGTGGTTTGTATACATCTGTGGTGGTCTCTGCCCTGCCCCTCCATGCGTGTTCCTGACCACAGGTGGGCTGTACAACGGGGAGGTGGTGGTCTGGGACACCAGTCAGACACAGGACCCAGTTCTGGCTCAGACGGGCATGTCACCTGACACACATCGAGACCCTGTCTGCCAGGTGGAGTGGCAAATTCTCTCCTTTGTCCATAGTTACCTACCTTCTCTCCTGACCTCCCCCTCTCTCTGAAGGCCATGGAGTAGGATGGAGGGTGTTAACACTTCTGCTGGTCTTTTTAGGTTCACAGTTTATATTCAGCATGGCTGATGTTAATCTCTTTTTCTAACTGGATCAGGCTGTGTGAACCTCCGGGTAGGATGTAGAATTTTTATAGCTATACAATATGGCCAAAAGAGTGTGGACATCAGCTTGTCCAACATCTCATTCCAAAACCATTAATATGAAATTGGCCGCATTTTGTTTGCATGATCGTGCACTTAATTATAGATCCGTGTCAGCAATGGATGTGACTTAATTAGACAATCTTTCTAAATAATACAGGTGTCCACATACTTTTAGCCATATAGTGTATGTTTAAGCAGATGTATGAACCTGATGAAATTCTTTAAATGTGAATGATTTTATGGGTCTGTGTACCTTGTCTGTCTATCTTGTCTGTCTGTCTGTCTATGATGTTGTCAGTGTTGAACATACTTCCCTCCTTTGCAGGTATACTGGGTGCCGACGGGCCGACGGGGTGAGTTTGCTGTCCTAAGTGCTGGTTCTGGGGGCAGGCTACTCCTCTGGACCATTGGTGAGGACTCCAAGCTGGTTCTGAGCTCGGGTTATGCCCTCTCCAGCCAGCAGCTGCCCCAGAGCAGCACGGGGGCCAAGGTGGGTAGCACAGACTGTTTCTGTTTCCGAACGGCCGTTCGTAACTTGAAATGTTCGTAAGTCGCTATTCAACATCATTTTAAGGGTATACACAAGTACAGAGAACTAGCATGCTAGGAGTACGCACGCTACGCTGCTGCGCGGCGGGAGTAGCGGGCAGAAGTCGCACTAGGCAGAATTGGCGCACAGAAAGAAAAAATTGATGTTGCGGACAGGAAACGGGAGCCAAGGAACACAATTTGGACTTACAGTCCTCTTCGTTCGGATTTCTGAAATGTCGTAAATTGAAACTTTGTAAGTAGAGGAGTGTCTGTACATTAATTTTTACACGTGTGCCTATTGGTGTCTGTGAAACCAAGTACTAACAGAATGTCTACATGTATACATTTCTATCTTCTGTCCTCACTGCTGACACAAACCTGGCAAATTTGGCGATCGTGATTTTATGAAAGTATGGGGACAGTGTCTTTTAAGCTACTTGATTATTTTACTGATTGCCGTGGGTGAATTTAAATTCAGTTTTTAGTTTCACCCTCTTTTGACACAGCAGATTAATTGACATAACACATGGAGTGCTTGTGCTGTCCTCCAGGCCAGAGGTGGCAGCACTGTGGGTATATCTTCCCTGGATCTCTCCCCCTGGGACCGGGACGTCTTCCTGGTGGGATCCGAGGGGGGCCTGGTACTCAAGTGCTCCTTCTCGGCGACGGAGGTGGCAGCGGTGACGCCGGATGGCGAGAGCGTGACGTTGCGTGCCCCAGCACAAGTCTCCTACTCGCCACGTTGCGGTCCTGTTCATGACCTCCACTGCTCCCCGTTCCACCGGTAAGCACCCATCACTGGTGAGCTTGTACCTCCTCCAGATAGGTTATTTTCCTGTGTTTTCTCGCCTCAGAAATGTATTAAATAATTTGGACCACATCTTTAATTGATTTTTACTAATATTTTATGTATGACCTAGGTAACTCTGGGTAAGTTTATGGTACTCCCTGATGAGTGGTACTCATGACTCAAAGTTGAGCCAATCAAATGACTCCAAGTGTTTGTTTTTTTTGTCCTTTGGGTGGAAAATCGGGTCCTAGACAAATGGAGGCTAAATCTACATGGTCACATAGATATTGAAGAAATGAACATTTCTACCTCTCTGCTGCTGTCCCCACTGAAGGAACCTCTTCCTGAGTGTGGGGACAGACGGCTTTGCACACCTCCACAGTCTGCTCCAGCCACAGCCTCTGATGTCTCTGCGGGTATCAGACTCGTATGTTTTTGCGGTGCGCTGGTCCCCGACACGCCCTCTGCTCTTCGCTGCTGCCACTGGAGAAGGTAACCTTTCTCTCTCCTGCACAGATGTTCAGCTCTGGTCCTCAGTGCAGGCAGCATTTTGTTCAAAATGAGCTTTCAGCTATTTCTGTCTGTTTGATAAAATGTTTTTTTTTCTCCATTGTTTTAGAGGTATTTTTGTGGTATTACAGATGATAGTAGTGTTTCTCAATAGAAATGAACCATTTTTAATCTTTTTAATCTAATTAACAAATGGTTTGTTCTACCAGGGGAACTGTGTCATTGCTAATTAATGCATGTGTTCTCCTGGTTCAGGGACAGTGCAGATTTTTGACCTAGGCCTGATGTCACTGAGACCCTTGGCCACCATTGGGCAGGATTCTGGGGGCCAGCCCATCTACTGTTTGGAGTTCAACCCCCGGCTGCCCCAGCTCCTGGCAGCGGGGAACAACAACGGCACCGTCAACATCTGGCAACTGAGCACGGAGCTCACCGAGCAGGGGCTCAGGGAGGCGGCACAGCTGGAACAGATAGCCAATGGGGTGGCAGAGTAAACAGCCAAGGACAAACAGCTGGCCAATGGGGTGGCAGAGTAAACAGCCAAGGATATACAGCTGACCAATGAGACACTAGCATGAAGCAAAATGGTGAAAGGTGATGGAGGACGTGCAGTATGTCGTTTGTTAAGGGAAAGGTGATAGTACTGAAAATATTTCCTTTTGTAAAATTAAAAGTTCCCATATATACTAAATCTGTATGATTGATCTTTGAAAACATTTCTGTCCCAGAACAAAGCTATTCAATACACCATTTCCAGTTAGAATCAGTAGCGTTTATTGAAGCACACTGCATTAGTAATAAGGCAAATCACCACACCTCAACAGCTAAGAGAGCCAAAGCATAGGAAACAACTCGAATGCTATCAGAAGGCAGGCAGAGACATGGACCTATAAAGAGCCTGGTCATGCAGCTTGGCTAAGGAAAAATGGCTCCTGATTGGTCACTGGCCGGTGGCGGCGTAGGGTCAGTTGACAAAGAGAGAGCGCGTGAACTCCACGAAGTCGTAGGCCGAGGGCAGCTCGCGGCCCTTGCTGTCCATGTAGGGCTTCATGTGGGACACGCAATAGTCTGCCTGCTCCTTGGTCAGGTTCTGGGGGTGGCCAGAGAGAACGGCACGGGTTAGGTGGTTTATGAGGTACAATGCAACTTTGAGTATGTTTGGGGGGGTACCTGGTAGAGCTCCTCCTTGGTGACGTAAGGCTTGTTCTCGGTACTTAGGGCCCGGAACGCGCTCTCAATCTCCTCGCTGGACTTCACATTCTCAGTCTCACGGCTGATCATGAAGGCCATGTACTCCTGCAGAGAGACGTAGCCGTCCCTGGAAATGAACGACAGCGTGTGAGTGTGCAGAATATCCTGGAACAGGTCTCCCAACACTTCGAAACACAATAAATCACTCGTCAAATAAGTTAGACAGTTAATAGGGATTATTACAGTTGGTCATTATAATTTTCAAAATGATCATTTCAGGACATTGCTATTAACCACTGATGGACCATCTTTTCTTGTAGTCAACTAAAGAAAAATAAAACAGGGTAAAGTGTGTTCAGTCTTCATGCTTAAATAGTCAAGGTCAAGAGTAACTTCCTATCTTTTAAATCAAGAGTTCTTAATGGAGCAAAGTGGGTGGTCTCTGACCTGTTGGGGTCCACCACATTTAGTATGGACTCAAACTCATGGTCAACCTCCCCCTCCTCCACCATGGGCAGGTCGTAGCCCAGCGAACGCAGGCAGGACTTGAACTCCTGGTGGTTCAGACGGCCAAACTTGTCCTTGTCGAAATGCCTATTAGTTGGGCAATAGGGTGCAGATACGGTGAGGTTAAGGCTACTGCGATGAAGACACATGCATGCAGTCGCACAAGACTAGCAGGGTTGTGTGATGTCCCATTAAAAGCCTGCAGGGGGACTCACTTGAACATCATGCTGAACTCCTTCAGGGCTTCCTCCGTCACACCTGTGGTGTTCCTATTGGGCAGAAAACACCTTTGATCACCTGACCCACGGAAAACCTTCCTGTAACTTGTGTGCAAGAATGTACCTTTGTGAATTTCACTAGTAGAAAATGAGTGCGAACGTATGTGTGCGTGCATGTGTGTGCATGTGACAGACCTGGCCTGGATCTGCTGCTCCAAGTTGTGTTGCATCCTCATGCCCAGCTGGTCCAGCTGGTCCCACTGCTGCGCCAGCCCCACCGTGCTGTGCTCTGTGTACTTGTTGTCCAGGATCAGGGCCTCCTCCATGGCTGCCCCAAGGTCCTCGATCTTCTTCAGCTGGCTGCGCATGGCTCGGATCTCCTGGTGCTTGCGCTGCGGGGCAAAAACACCATCAGGAGGCAAGATTTACAAAAAAAACTGCAACTGCAAGTTATACTCAAATGATCTCATCTTCAGAAAGAACGATACACTCTATATCTTAGTTCATAAGCTGCATAAACCTCTAAAGTACTGCAGGATCGTCTTTTCATCAGGTAGTATGTCAAACGTGAATTCTGAGGCAAGTAGCCTTTGTCAAGCATCATGCCTTAAATCATGGAAATATTCCCACCCCTTGCCACCGTAAATTTACAGAGTTAGTAAACTAGTAAAGGAGAAACTCCGAATGTTATAATGTTTTATGGCTACTGTGTGTTACAGTACATACCTTAGTGGCCTCCAACTGAGATTCAAGTGTTCCCGATTCTTCCACCATGCAAGACCTGAACAGGAGCGAGTAACAATGAGCGGGGTTACTGGGGGAGGGGGGGGGCAAGGGCTTTCATCCATCACACACAAGCCACACCCCAGCTACAGCAGCATATTTTCCACCCTCTTAAATAACGGATAACAGCCCTGAATATGGAATTGCTGGAGAAAGAACTCAGACTTCAGCCAATGGGCAGTCAGATTGTATTCAGAGGTGGCGAATGGACACCCACAGAACTCAATACTTGATGGGAAAGATCACTGAGAAAGACCTTTCTGTGCAAATAATAACTTAACTAGCAAGTCTGTGTCCAATTGAAGATTTAGTGCTCCATACATGTCTACTATGAACGGTGAGGATTTTTGGATGTCACACTCTGCTAAAAACGGGGTGTTGACTATGTTTTCATGAAAATCAACGAAAAAGGCAAAAATTCAAAACAACTCATAGGGAAATAAAAAAAATGGAACAAAACATAGTAATTGATTTGGAAGCCAAGTGCCGTTTTTCTGGAAAGCATTCTATGTATGAATTTTGCATATGCTACAGCCAAGCCTCTTAGAAAACGCCTAAATATCACAGAATAGAAAGTAAGTCGGCAGATTATTTTTGGTTATTGGCTTTAATTAATCTACTTCCTTAGACATATTTCCATACAAGTTTCTAAATAATTGAATAACTTAATACCATTTCTTCCAAACAGTCTAGCAATGACCACAAATGCAATGTTTCCCAGAATGCACTTGCCCCCATAGTCTGTGTGGTTCAGTGCATGCCAAAGAAGCCCACCTGTAACCATGGTAGCCGATACCATGCCAGTTTAAGCTTTAGCATTCAGGGGTGGAAAATGCATGCATTTAGACAAACCTTTACATTATACTTTTATGCTACCATCATTTTGGCCAACTGGGTGACTGCTGAAAACTACAACATTGATATAGACATAAGTATGTCATCCAGAGTGTATAAATTAGTTTTGCTGCCATCAATAAAAACTGAAGGGATGAGATCATGTGTAACCCACACATTAAGAGTCCAATGCAACCATAATATAATATATATTAGTAAGAACGAGAAATAATAGCAGTTTCCACCCTTGTAAATGTGGTGTATTGAAATCCTCAAAAGTAAAACCAACAGCATAAACTCCTGAGAGGTGTATTATATGTAAGCAGGCCTTGGGGAAAGAGCAGGTCAATCGGGACGTGGAGCCAAATCTTACGAAGCCACAGAGCCGCATTAGTCAAGCTGAAGGGGGAGCTGCAAATGGGACTCGGGGACACGAGGAGAGGCCACTCAGTGTGTGTTTGGGGGAAGCATGAGGGGGGGTGGGGGGGGTGGGTGTGAGGTAGGCAGCAAATCGGCTGAGCAAAAGGGAGGGGGTGCGAATGGAACCAGAAATAGCAGAAGAGAACCTTCCGGAAAGGTCATCATCGACTTCGTACTGATAGACACGGATAACCCGGCGATAGGCTATGCTATTTGGAAACAGGAGGGGGGTTGAGAGACAGTGTAAATACCAGGGAAAAGGGAAGAAAAACAGAATCACAGAGACAAATGATGTCAAAACAGGTAAAGAGCACCACTGTTCTGCAGTCAGCTGAAACAGAGAGAAAGCAGACAGACACACTGAGTGGGGCCTTAATTCTAGAACTATTTGCACTAAAGAATGAAAATACAAGGGCAGTAAAACTTAAGGTAAAAGCTGGAGAAGTGGTAGTTACCAGCAGGCAGACAAACCCCATTTCCCATCCTGCTGACACACAGACCCCAACTTAACGCCACGGTTCCCCATTTCCCATCCTGCTGACACACAGACCCCAACTTAACGCCACGGTTCCCCATTTCCCATCCTGCTGACACACAGACCCCAACTTAACGCCACGGTTCCCCATTTCCTTTGCAATCAGCCACAAACGACACATTTTCTCAGCAGTACGTCCATTTTCATACAGACAATGCAACATACAGGGTTATGACTCTCACAATATAAGAAGGGGCACATTAAACAACTCAAACCAAACAGGAAGAGGGAAAAAAAAATGTGATATTTACCCGTCCAGAAGATATGTCCTGATTCGGAAAAGTGGTCCAAGGAAGCAGGGAAGGTTGCAGGAAGGGTTGGGGGAGTGGATGGGAAGAAAAACAAGAGAAAGAACAATGATTAGAAACAAAGCAGTGACGACATTGGCAATGAATGTGCAACTGCACAGGGGACACACACACACACACACACACACACGTTTGAATTCACATCTTTGTGGAGACTACACATTCATTTCTATGGGAAAAACCCGAATCCCAACAACGACAATGACAACCTTAACCATAAATAACCAAGCAAAATACAAGACACTTGGCATCTTTGTTTTTTTTTTTTGATTGAATTTTTATAAAATTGAGTTTCCCCTTATGGTGACTGAAAAATGGTCCCCACAAGGTCAAAATAACAGGTTTTTATCACTTTGTGGACACACACACACACACACACACACACACACACACACACACACACACACACACACACACACACACACAGGCCACCTAGTGTAGTGAACTACAGCTACTGAGGGCTGATTCCCCACAATATCATAGACATGGTTAACATGAAAGACACTAGAAGTAAGAGGACCTCACAAGCAAAGCCACAGTAGGTACAGCAGTGGGGGGGGGGGGTTACCGCGTCTCCTGCAGCCACTGGTGGAAGGCATTGGCGTGCTGCGCGAACTCCTGTCGCAGTTTGTCGTTTTCCTCCTGCCGTCGCTGCTCTTTCTGCAGCTCCAACTCCCGCTCCTGAAAAGAAATGGAAATAATTTTAAAAACCAGTAATCGTTTATTAACAACAAAAAAAATCTTATGTATGCGTTTGCACTACAAATGACACACCTTCTACATGCGATGCTGGGTTAAACTGGACTGAGTTAATTCATATGCTAGATGGAAACAGTTTGTTATTTTTTCCATAACACTCAAGGAGTGTCAAAGTCTAAGCCATGGACAACTGTTAGGCCCAACCCGCTGACCTTGATTATCTTCTGCAGGTTCCTCCAGGTGTCCTCCAGAGCTTCCATGGTAAACCAGGTGTAGGGGTTGGACACCACCTGGTAGCTCTTGATCTGTCTGTCCAGTTCAGCCAGCTGGCTGAAGTCGGCCTCGGCGGAGCTGAGCGAGGATCGGAAGGCCTCGTGGGCGTCGCGTAGAGCCCGGATTTCTTCCAGGGAGTTGCAGCGCACCGGGTCAGTCAGGTCCTCCTCGGCATTTTCAAACCAGCTGTTAAAGGCTGATGCCTTCTTGGCGAAGGTCAGGAAGAGGTCTTCAACCTAGGTAGGGGAAGCTTGTAAGTGCATGGATTACTACACTGGAAGACAAGCCAGTGCTGTACAATTAACGTAAAACAATTCAACAGACAGGTTATACCATGGGCCAGAGCATCTGTAGCGATTCTTCAGAATGAGATAACAATACCCACTTTACTCGCCCTAAATCCTGAAGTGTCTGAGATCAAACAGGCAACTCTGAAATGGTGCATTTCCCATGAAAGCCTCATGAAGCTGGCAGACAAGGAGGACCCCCACCCTTCGGAAGTGCTCCTGGGCATCCATCAGTCTCTTATTGCGGTCGGCAGAGTCGGCCAGCAGCTGGTTCCAGCGCTTCATGAGTGCGGCGTGACGAGCCTCGATGGCGCGAGACTGCACGTGCTCGGCCGCCAGCAGCTGGTCCTTCAGCATGGTGATGTTGGAGATGCCCTCCTGCTGGAAGGCCTGCAGGCCGGCATCAAACGTCTCCTGCAAAGGTGGGACCAGAGAACAGGTCAAGACGGTGCATGAGGAGCACACTAAAATCAACCAGAACACATGAGCTTGCTGGATGGTCCAAATTCAGCAGTGATTTTATTGGATGTGATTTAGATCACTTTAATGTGTGTTGAAGTGTCCAATTTTTGAACTTTTTTTTTTTTTAAATCACTGTATTGATTTTGTGCTACAACCACCTGAGACTCTAGGTAACTAAAGCTGATCATGAAGTCTTAACATGAAAAGCATTACAACAATATGCTGTTGATGCAACAGGTCTGTTGAATTGTGGTGGTTTTATGGGTTTTTGGTAGATTTCCTTCTACATTTGAGCCAGATTTGGGGATTTATATCATTCCAACCGTGTCATAGTCTTGGACCAGATTTCTGTTTCAAATTGGTTTTTGGTTACATCCATAATTCTAACCTAAACAACCCATCATCTCACCAATAAAATGGCGAGACCTTCAGAGATGACTGACTAAATAACAGAGACCATCAGAAAAAAAAGGCCCACCTGCTTAGTGAGGAGTGTCTGCACAGAGGAGAGATCACGGCCATAATCGTCTGTCTTCAGGCTCTTCTCTTTCTCACCTGAAAGAACATCAGCTCCATGTTTCCTTCTGGTTCTAGTGGCTGCTTTTCTCTAATAAAACTTTTTAAAGAGTGTTTAGGATCAAGACAAACATTAGTATTTAGGTCTAATAACTGCAATAGACTGTCCAACGTGTTGTTTTAACCCAAATCCGTGTCAATCTGCATGTACAGCATTGCACAGAGAGTGGAGTCATGATTCAGTGTCTCGTGTGTTTTATTTCTCCCATCTTATCCCACCAAATCTGGTAGATCTCCTCTGACTATTGTTCTGCTCTGCTTAACCCATTTGTCCCCAAAAAGAAATTCCAAAGAGCCCCAGGGCCTGTATCACAAAGCCGGATTCCATGCTTAGCCAGATAACTTTGAGGATAAGTAGCAGTAACTCTGCCTTTTCGATATCATGATGCTGGTTCTCTTCTTACCACGATACATCACCACGACAACTCACGTTACAGGGCAAACCTGCTCTGGAGCAGGGACCGGTATCACAAAGCCGGCTTCTTTGCTTAGCTAGATAACTTTGTGGATAAGTAGTGGTAACTGGCTTTTTGGTATCACAATGTAGGATCTCTTCTTTGCATGATATATCACTGCGGTAACTCATGTTACTGAGCCAAATTGCTCCAGAGCAAGTTAGCTGTCAAAAGGCTTGCACCAATCAAAGAGAAGTAGTCACTATATTGTCTGACATAACAAATGGGCTTTCCAATCACTCAAAATGGCTTGTCCATGAGAATCCCATTAGTTAGCCATATATTCAATCTTCTGGCTAAAATATGTTTCAACAAGCAAGCCAAGTAGCTTTTAATCATAGACCTTCGATATCCACAGGCAGACACACAAAATAATTTTTACATTTTGAGTTCTTTAGCTATGTGTGCTAAATCATATTAACATCTATGAAAAGAGGCAATCTCTGCTGTAACGATATACTGGTTCAGCATTTTGAGTTGATAGCGACCTTTACACACTCCCTGGTAGTCCAGATTACCTTACGGGCAAATTTTATTTAGTATTTGAATGCTTGCATATGCACTTCATGTTCAATAACTGATGGGGAATTGACACTGCAATTACTAATAAAGATGTATGGAAATACATAATCTGAGAATTAAGTGGTGTCCATTGTCCCTCACAGTCCATTGCTTAAAATATACAGTACTTTAATATAGCTTACGGTTACCAATTCTAGCTCTAGCCACGTGCTCACTCCCAGTTAGACCTATAGTATGAGGTGTAGAGCTGGGTGGGGATCGGTGCCATTGGCTTTGGATGAACTGAGCTGTCAGTGCTGTCACTCTAGCTTCACACCCCCCTGTGGAATTGGAGTGCAGATGTTCAGGGACCCCCCATGCCTGCATTCCCACCTGCCTCTCCCTCCTACTTATGCTGCCATAGCCATATCTGCCAGAGCTTATACACTGCACTTCGTATTGCACTCACCTAACTGTTTGCACGGACTCTAGTCTTCTCTGCTTTGGCTAATGCACTTTTTATCCCCCCACCCCTCCTGGGCTGTGCTACCTGGAGACCCAAGAAAACAAGAAATCCAATCTACTTTGCCGCTTGCAATGTTCCTACTACCTGTGACGTCCTGCTTGCCTGCCCTCCTGCCTTAATGTCTCTCATGCCTGCCCTGCTGCCAGTGATTCTGCATTTACACCTGGACTTAAACTGGAGTGTATAAATCAGGACTTTGTTCATTTGACTTCCTCTGCAGTTTCCTCTCCCAAGTTTTCTTCCTACTAAAAAGTTTCTCCTTGCCACTGTCCCCTTTGGCTTGCTCACTGGGGGCTTTGGGCAGGGATAATGCGAAGCATTGAGACAGTGTAATGTGAAAATGTGTTACACGAATAAAATTGAATTGAATAAAAATTGAACTGAACTGAACTTTTTCTTTTGTCGAAACAGCTTTGTGATGCAGGCACCTGTTTGGTTATAAAGTCCCCATCTCATGTGGTTCTGTCCAGCAAGCCTCCCACACAGAGCAATTAGCAGGAATTTAGTGTCTCCTGAGACTCCCTACACACCGATCCAGGATTCCACTACATCGGCCTTCCAGTTGAACTGCAGGAAAGCAGAGTTCTCGTCCAGCTTGGCCTTCCTCTGTGCGGCTGCTCTTTCCAGCTCAGACACCTTCCCCTGCAGCGCGTTCACTTTTGTGCTGATGTTTTCAGCATGGTGATTGTTCTGCAGGACACAAGAGGCTCAAAATACACTGATCTTCACAAACAACAAAGTTCTTAAAGACAGGACCCACGCAGTTTTGTTCACAGCTGTTTAAATGACAGGTTTGGTTTTCACCTTGGAGCACTTTCTTATGCTGAACCCGAGTACTTGTGTCCATACATGACGTACCTTCTTAATGAGCTCTTCGCCGTTCAAACACACATCATTCACCCGGTCCCTGTGTACTGTGAAGTCCGTCTCAAACGCCTCGTGCTTCTTCAGTAATCCCTGGATAAGGAGAACGCCAAGACTTTTCGCAAAACATCAACCTCCCTGATCTCTCGTCTGAAGTTAAAGACGAGCAAGTTCAAAGTAGCGGCATGCTGGGACTGAAATGTACACAGTTTGAATAAAAATGACTTGAGGAAACAGCAGGACATATAGAAGCCCCCCCCCCCCCCC